GCCAAAAAGAGACTTGCAGCCATGCTTGTCTTTTCCCCAGCCTTTCACACCACTGGGTATCAGCATGGTGTATGTCAAAACACAACCTGCCAAAAGTGTTCAAAGCACTCGGTTTAGCTCTTCAAGAATTTTCTCTGTCTCAACCTGACAAACTACATCCCAACCTATCCCTGTTTTATCCTGTGATTTTGCTACAGCCCTGTGGAGAGAATACCTTACCTCAGAGATGAAGTTGACATAGTTGAGTATGAAATGCAAGGGGGAACAGAGGGATTCAAAGAAAAGCAGGCCTAACTATAGCCTTTTCTGTATCAACCCCTCCCTTCACTTGGAGAAGCAAATGAGTATTAAAAGGTCACAGGTGAAACCTGCTCTGTACTGGAATCACGTAACACATGGAGCGTAAGCATTTGTGCACTGGGAGAAATGGCTGAGTAGGAGTTAAGCGAGCAGTGTACATGCAATAAGTCAAGAGAACAAGAGCAGTCACAAAAGCCAAGAATGAATACAGGTAAAAGCAAAGAACTGGCAGTGCTGCAGTGGATCGTGCAGCATTGGTACCAATCAAGGACCAGGGAGACAAGATGAGGATGTGATAGCTAGCAGTCCTTGTTCTCCATGCCACCATAAGTAATCCTGGTATCTGTGAGAAAATTAAATCGCTTTTGTTTAAAACAGAGTGCACCTTCCTCTTCTGTATTGTGTGCTCATACAATGAGTTTTGCTACATTTATTGTGGCAACAAAGTGGAAGGAAGAAAACAAGATTTTAATTGAATTATATAAATGATATCAGTACAATGCATACAAGTTACTCAAATTCCATTAGGTCTCAAGGTAAGAGCCATCAAGTTTGCAAGAGTACTAACCTTTCTGGATGAAACAGCAGTAATGCATGATAAAAAGGTGGTAAGGGCAGAAACATCTCAACCCAAGAGAGACAGCATTCAGATTACATTCCACAACTTAGGCCTTTGCACAAGCACGCATGCACGTTGCAGGCTCAAGGCAACCCATCCTTGATTGTTATGGTTCTGAACAAAAGCCAAGTAGATTGCAGCAGCTGTATACTCAATGAATTGGTGTGATAAAAGACAGATTGTCAAAGCCAAAGCGTGATTCGCATGATATAAAGCTTACAAGGTAAGTCACAAATTAAACAGTATGTAGACGACTAATTGCATATGACTGCATATTAAATTACATTCACCAGGAGTCCAAAATATTCCTTCCAGAGTTCTGACCAAAGTCACAGAAGTTAAATCAAACTACCCAAAAGCCTGAGATTATGAAAAAACATTGCACTGATGCTTTTTCTAATCTTATCTTATGCTGTGATGTACATACACTTTTATCTATGCACATGCCACCATTAAGAGCAAGGCAATTTTAGTCCCTGATGCAGGTGGCTTCATTCATGAACTCAGCTGAAAACAAGACTTACTGTGTATCCTCACAGTATAGAACAGGTCCCAACCATACATGCAGTGCACAACATGACAAATGAATTGCAGGGTGGGAGCTGGAAGGGAACAGATCCTGGACTTACATTATATAGAAGCATTGTTATTTCTGAGCATCTGCTGTGGTTAAACATATGACTCGAAGCATACAAGACAGTAGTCTTGGTCACAAAACAGCCCCTCTCTTCAACCCCACTTTTACAGAGCACAGTAACTATTCTCTATACATTCAAACACTGACTGCCCATCTAACTCAGTACCTACTCTACTTTTGCCAACGGGAGCTTAGAGGATTGCTACTTAGAATCACAGAACAGTTTGGGTTGGAAGGGACCTTAGACATCATCTCATTCCACCCCCCCTGCCATGGGCAGGGGCACCTTCCACTAGACCAGGTTGCTCAAAGCCCCGTCCAACCTGGCCTTGAACACTTCCAAGGAGGGGGCATCCATAGTTTCTCTGGGTAACCTATTACAGTGCCTCATCACCCTGATAGTGAAGAATTTCTTCCTTATATCCGGTCTAAATCTACACTCCTTCAGTTTTCTACTGGAAAAACATTTCCTTCAGGTAACGGTATTGCCTAGGCACACGCAGCATTTGACAAGATGGCAATAATGGTGCTACTCTCAAAGCAGAGCTGACAGAATACTTACAATTGTCACTGCTGTGCAAACTCTATTTGTTACAACAATAGTTAGGACACTTACTGAAAAATGCAGTATCTGTTAAAACAGGGGCTGAAGGTTTCTGGGCTTTGAAGTCCAGTCAGAATGCTGCCCTAGATAGGTCCAATGCAAAAAAGTTTACAGTACTCGTAACTCTCTCTTCCCTACTCAGATTAATGTATTTTTGTACATGTTCCTGTGGGAAGTAGGACTGCAGGTCTCTTAATTCCCCAGCCTGCATTCATGATGATAACGTTTGGTTACAGAGACAGTAAAAACTGCTGGAACTAATGTCATTTGATAAACGTCTTCTCTACACTGTCAATTAGATCTTCATAGGAAATTTAATTTTCTGCTGCCGCCAACCAATACGGAACACGGTAGGGTACTGGGAGACTAGCAACTGTTCTCCCTTACAAAGCCAGCATACTTCACATTGGCTCAAGGTAGGAGTAAAAAGAAGGAACACAGGAGCAAGAAGATGGTTGCTCCTCCTCTGCAAGCCTCAAAGTCGTCTACTAATACACTCGCCACATAGATGAGAAAACAATGCTGAAAGTGGTTCACAGGTGGGAAAATGACAGTGGCTCACCAGGTATCCCTGAGATTCACTGCACAACAGAGGTGGGCATGTGGTTAAGCTGCATCAACAGCACCTACTGGCTTGTTCCTCTCCACTGCAGAAGTTTGGTTACTCAGCAGCCACTCTGCAACACAGCCATGCTGGAAATCAGGCAACAGAGCTGAGCCCAGTATCTGCACTACGAATTGTTTAACAGCCACAGGTTGACAGGAGGGCTGTATTAGTTTTCCCAGCTGGGTCTCCCTCCATCTCCTATTGCAATCTTGAGGCTGTGAAGGGAACAGTATTTATACGCTCTCAGATAATTTCTCCTGGAAGACTGGAGTCTGCAAAAAGACCCCAACACTTCACATTCAATCTGTGCATCATACTGTTTTCAATGTAGCGAATGTGTCCTTGTAAAGCCTTAATGCATGACTGCTGAGAGAGCACATGCAAACTCATTTGTTAATACACTGGCATATTAACTGGAACAAAAAAGCATCCTGCCCTTCCCTTATAATGATACATTTTTTCCAACATTTATTACAGCGTTGGCAGAAAATCGTATGTACATCTAAGCCCCAGGAGAGAAGCGTGTTATTTGTACTTTTCCTCCTTAGGGTGTGCATCTGTACAGGATAGCATGCAATTCAGCATAAAGGTTCAGCAAAATCTGTGTACATCTGTAGCCAGCAAAGCAGTTTTGACAGTTACTACCTCAAAGCACAAGTCAAAGTAACGAGACAGCAAACCAGAGAAAGGAATTGTCTTGTTTTGCTCAAAAACATTTTTATTAAAAAAAAAAAAAGTAGGGTTAATCAGGTTTACTCTGTTTCAGTAAGGAAATATTAAATTCACATTTTACATATGAAAATACTATAAAATAATCATCCAGTGACTATTACAGCGTTTTTTCAATGGTTGGGACTCGGGCCATTTTCATTCATTTTCATCCACCATCCACAGCAATCAAAAAATCAATTTTTTTGGTAATCCTGAAAAGTGTAAATGACAGTGTTACCAAAGTAAAGGGGTTCAGCCCCTCCTCAAGGTTTTAGTATTCATTTGGTACTGTTCTTGAGACATACCTACTCTGAGACGCTTTTGCTGCAGGAGCAGTACACAATTACTTTTTCTGCTGAATCTATGAAAGGGTGCTAGAATCAAAGCTCATTTGAACCTCCCAATGAGTCCCAAATTCTGTAATTAAGTGTTAATTGCATTTGGGATACATGTAAGTATTTCTCTTTGTTGGTATAAAAAACTAGCCAGTTAATTCTACTTTTAAATCTAAGAAAGGCAAGCTATTCTAAGGCTTAACCCCACCCCACCACACATATACTCTTAATGATAATTCTTATGTGCTGTCACTACCCAGCAATAAGCTGTCTGCAGGAAGTAATAGCCCTCTTAATCTCTGCCTCATTCTTTAATCACGACCTTGTTTAACATCAGCTGTAGAGATGATGAGGGCAGCAATACTTTTCTGATTCTATTCCAGATCTTGTCCTCTCATTTCTTCATATACTACTTATTTATAATGCAGACAGAATAAACCATAGCTGCCTTCTGGGATGGATGTGAAGCTTACTATCAAAGGATCCAACTGGTTTTGCCTGCCCTATAGGCAGAGGTCTTCTCTAAAAGAGACATTGAATCACACCTGTGAATTTTAAATGAATGCCCAAACAATATGAATTCTTAACCTTTGATATGAATAGAATGGTATTTTTTTCTCCCCAAATCAGTGTATGATAGTTCTGAAATTAGATAGATTCCTTATACTGTGTTAACTGAGGAAAAAGTTTAGTGCTGTATCTTTTATACCCTGTTTTGTGAACCTATGGCTCCAAGGAAATGCAGATTAATAGGACTAGAAATTGGTGTCCTGGGGAAGGAGTGCTGCTTTTGATTAAGTGTTTGCCAGAGTGGAGAAGATGGACAATGATGTCATCATAGCACCAGTTGCCTCCACATACCTCACTGACCAGCAATAAGTGGTAGCAATAGCTAGACATGATGCACACTTCATACTTTTCACAGGCAGTCATCCATCTAGCAATAGTTTTCCCCTGACAACACAGAGGCTGTTTTTTGAGAAGTACAGCTGCTGCACAGTGAAGTTTGGTGAACATGCCCCACAGGCCACAGAGAATTGTTCTGGTGGAAAAGTGGCACTTATGGGGATGGCGTAAATTCTTTCTCCTGGCAGACAGCCCCTGGTGCCAACACTTTAAAAGAGGCTACCCATCAGTAATCACTCAGTCCGTTCTGCTAAGTTCCAGAGCGCTACCTCAGCTGCAAGCACAGGCCGGCCTAGGGATTTCAGGGGATGCAACTTATTTTTCTTTGAAATTACACATTTCTACCCTCAATACCAATAAAAACACTCTGTGCTTCAAATTTTATTTAAACGAAGGCTGTAGGATTGTTCTTCCAAACCAATATTCAGATTTTAACTTTAGATGATAATGCCATGCAAGGATGTCAGATGAAATCCAGGGTAGCAGATCTGTTAGCTCTAGCATTGTGTCTCTCTCCTTTAACTTTCATTGGCACTAGAGGATCTACCTTTGAGACCCTCTGGTTCTGAGCGTCCAGCTAAGGCAGTAACAGAGCATAATGGAAAATCCACATCAGAAAATCCATTATGTTTCCATTTCTGCTTAGTGGAAGTGATACTGCTTCTTATACTGATACTCAGATATCTGTCTCAAAAAGTAATGCTGACTTCCTAAATGCCTTGGTTACAGCCAATCTTAAAACTCCTGGAATTTAACACTCAAGTCTGATTTCCTCTTGCTGAAGATGATGACTTTCGGAAAGACATTAAAACAATGAAGTGTTCTGGATACAGAGCTGGATACAGCTCTGGAAGCTCTGCTCGTTGTCAAATGCAAGACTTCAAATGGTTAAGTTACAGAACTCAAGAAAGCATTTCTTCCTCTTTCCTGTCCTTTAGTTAACAAGCATATTTTAGGGCATGTACTCCTAAACACTAATCACAGACCCTCACACAGGCCCTTGCAAAAGGAGCTGAATTAATTACCTAAGCTACAGTAACCTGACAAGTTCCCACGTGTCAGCTGACCAACAGTACCGGGGTCAGCAAAGAGCATGCAAACAGTAAACTGATTAAATTTTTCTTTGAGATTAGAATCTTAAGCTAGTGAACTAATGCATTTTTTGACACAGACTATGAAACAAGTCTAAGTGCCAAAAACTAAGTTAAACTCTAATAATGGGTGGGAGTAACTATGACTCTCTTAAGACAGGATCATAACTACTAACCAAGCATAGCTGCAGGTCACACCTCCTCGTGATCCCACTGGATACCCTTCTGGGGTAACTAAGAGAACTCCTTGAACACTGGGGCAGAGGTCATAGTTCCTCCCGCCCTATCAATGGGCTTCACTGATCATTCAATAGTATGTAAAAAGGTGAAAGATTTCCGTCACCAAGATTGTATTGTTGCCCAGAGCCTGTAGCGCAGGTAGTAGTTGGGCCCAGTCTGGCAGCCTTGGAGGGTGCTGCTGTCTGGCTTTAGCACACCCTCACATTAATTTGGCAAAATGAGCCGTCCGATGCGGGTTACATTCATATTGGTGACCACATAAACACGTCCTTTGGACTTCTGTGATTCATTGGTCACTAAAAACATCAAAGACCACAACAAATTGGTGGAAGAGATATTAAATTTAAATTCGTATGAGTTTAACAATTCAAAGATTGAAGGACTGGAATGGTATCATCCTTCCACCCGGACTGACAGGTTGGCTGTGTTTCCAGAGGTGTATGAGGTACCTACCTCTCTGTAGATATTGTGCATGTTTGTGAGTCAAGCGCAGACTGTTTAAGATCATAATGAATAAATAGATTGTAACTGTACTATTTGATTGACTGTAAATAAACTGATTTCTTCTATCTAAGGCAGGAGTTGGACTCCACTGGAGAGTGCCTAGGGTGATAAAAGCTTGGGCAAAAGGGCGTAAGTTAGGGTGTGATAGTATGTAGGGATGTTATGAGTTTGGAATCATGACACATCATCTACATTTCCTGCCAAAAGACGTTAACGACCAGTCTTTGCCAAGGTGGATGGGCCACCTTTATTTAACCCAGAAAAGGAGTATGTGTAGTTTTATATATGTTCGATAAACAGCTGTGTCTCTGAATTCAAGACGAAATGCACTTTCACGGAAGCACATCCATTCCCAAAAGATATCACTCTTGCATCAAAACAGAGTCTCATACTGGATATAAAAAAAAGCTGATGCTAACCTGACAGCTGCTATCTTGTATATTCCAGCTGTTAAGACAACCAACTCCAAGATCCAGTATTTGCCTCTCTACTAGAAGGTCTGAGTAATTTAGTGTCAGATACAGGTCTTGAGTCCTCAGAGCTTTCCTTGCCATGAAGATATGAAGTACATGCCACTGTTTGGGGAAGACTGGAGGCTCCAAGTAGAAGTAAATGTTAGGAAATAAGCTTGCCTTTTAAAAGGGCCACAGAAACATGCTTGATGTTCCTTACGCAGAGCGATCTTAACAGTTAATTTGCTTAGTCTAAGAGATAGAGAGCAGAAATCTCTTTTCTGAAGCTGATTAATATTCTCCAGTCTGTCACTTGAAAGAATAACATGCTATCTTTCTCCTTCTCACCCCTTTTTTGTTTTAAGTGATGTAAAGTTATTCACAGCTCAGTAAGAGGTCTCAGAAAAATAAAAAAGGGCATTGTAATAGCCTGTAATTTACTGGGTAGTAGCACACTCCATTACAGAAATTTACAGAATTAGGTATTTCTTCCAACAAATAGATTCCTAAGGGTCATAAGAGAGCCTTTTTTGTACCAGTTCTGTTAGATCACAGAACTAAGTCTTTCTTGCCCTAAAGCATTTATCCTAAAACATAAATCATTAAAGGGCTTCAGCTAGTGGTGGTGCCCAGGGATGTAGTCCATTCAGAGAGTTTTTGTTCTGAAACACTGGAAGTATCACATTCTCTCTGAGCATGTAGCCCCTATTTTACAACAGGTGAAACATTAACAGGTTACCTTGGTCTATTCCTTCTGTTCTTTTCCTTTTTAAATTTAAAAGTGCATTTTGTTGCTCCTTTACAGCTTCTGCAGGACAGTTTGGTCTCGGCAGCTGATTTCCTGGAGTTGGTCCTGGTCGGTTACTAAAATACTTCTGTTTCAATGCCTTAATGATAAGGGAAGAAAAATAACCAACTAATTAGTATAAAGTGTCAGAACACCATCTATAAAGAGGTTATAATGAAATAAGGCACTTGCAATTGGGACTTCAAAACTACTTTGACACAGGTGGCCTTGGGGCAAATCAAGATTTTCTGTTCTGAATGACTACCCACAACACTTTGATTTGTAAGACAAGAGATAACGGTGTATGGATATTTTTAAATAGTGCTCAGACATCCTAACAAAACGCTAGACAACACTGCAGGAGGTCTCGTACAAACAGCAAGTTTCTAGCTCTGAAGAGCTTACATTCTGAATAGACAGATGAGACAAGCGGATAAAGAAGAAAGTGGGAATAAAGAAAGATTAAAACAATGTATATAAAGCCTTGATCAGGTCCAGGACCTGGACACCAGCTGTTCTGCTAGCTTTTAAGATACGTGGCTAATGTCAGTTACATAGTATTCAATGCCAGCTATAAACCAAGCCAATACAGTAAGCGCAAGTTGTTTCCTGCCTTAACCTGTGGCATTGTCAATAAAAATGCTAGACTAGAAAAATCATATATATTCAATATTCAAGTCACCATCCTACAATATGACCTGTAAAATGACTTCATACATATGAACTAGTACAGAGGTGTCCCAAGCGTAGCAGAACTAATTGTTTGGAAACTTATATTGAATGTTCTTGAAGATGGAGACAAAACCAACCTGAGTGTACTCTGAAAAAGTCTTCTAGTAAAGAGGTATGTAACACATGCACTAATCCCATGGATAGGGATCTGCCTTGTCTAACAAGCAATGAGGGAGTCCTGGCCTTAAGGGGACAGCTCTGTTTCTTGCATGCTTCCCTAACAGTGTAAGGTGACAGAAATACAGTTTTGAAACTGCCAACTGCTGCTTCTTCCTCATAGCAGAAATCAGTATTCTGAACTAGAACACTGAGATTTTCATTGAAAGTCCTTCATCTATCCCCATAAAGGAGTAGTGAAATCGAGATCAGTTTCACCCAAGTATAATGGAAAAGGATGTTCAGATCAGAATGCTGGTTTAAATCACCACTGAATTTCATGTTAAAAATAATCTAAAAAGTTTAAATGAAGTTGAAGAAGAGCCTGGATGAAGTAAGGATGAAAACCTTTCAGACCCAAGGAATAAGATATGCCAGTTAAGACTTAAGTGTCTGAATTTTGAATGTCAAATATAATGACTGTCTGAAGGCCATGACTGATACACCTTTTAGTTGTTTACCTTTGCTCTGCATTGGGAATGGAAATGATCAGTCAGCCTTATTTATGTCTTTCAGAGTTCTCTCTATAAAACACTGGAAGTATGTTTCTAGTATTTCACAGGCAGAGCTATGACATTTCATTTCAAACTTGGCTTACTGGCTTCAAAGTACATTTATCTGATATTAACAGTAGGTTAATGAACATTAGGACACAATACAAGTGTACTATACCTGAGTAGCCGTAACCCTAGTGCAAGGATTAAACGTGAATAAGCCTTGCAGAAGATTAAGCAAATCATCACCAGCTGCACTGAAGATATGTTGAAGTGGCATTCCAGGGAAAGACTTAAATGTGACATAATCTGGAAGACTTGTCATCCCCTACAAAGATCAAAAAAAAGGAATGTATGTTTTTCAAGTTAGAAAAGAGTTCAGCTTTTCACAGAAAGGGAACTTTATATGGCTGTCTTTCAGCAGAAGAAAATTATCTTTCAAAACACCTTGCTAATACTTAGTCACTGAAATAAAATAAATGTAGGAATACTAGGCATAAAGAGGTTTTTTTTTTTTTAGTAACCGTTACAGTTGTTTCATACTTTCCCTTTCCAAGTGATCTGTCCTTCCCTTGCTTTAGGGACCAGTCCAAAAGGAAAAACTGCTAACAAAGAAAGGAAGTATGACAGAACCTTAAAGTGGGTGCAGACAAATGAAGTAAAAACTTTTTTCTTTTGCAAACTGACATGGTGAAAGAGACAAGAGTTATAAAAGAGCCAGTCTGCATTTTCTCCAAGTCAATAATACACTGTCCTCCTCCTCAAAGTTAACTCATCATCATGAGCATTTTGACCTACTTTTGAAATGCACAGCTGAAACTCTTTATCTGAGGGGATAGAGGGAGGGAAGAAACACATGCCAACCAGTTAAACAACAGATGAATTGAGTACTTTTTTCTCCTGTAGGTATGAAATCAATCCCACTATATTCAAATTCTATCATAAAAATGATCTAGTAACAAACAATTATCCAAATGTCATATTTTAATAGTGTTTTAAGTATTTTACATTTCTAGTCATCACACTTCAGTAAGTTTATCCAAGCAAAATAAAATAGTAACACTGAAGTGAAAAGCAGGCTCAATCAATTATCATCTTGACACTAAAGGCTTCAATTCTTGAAATGCATGGATTTGCAAATTAAATTGGGAATGTACCATCTCTGTCATGCTAGCAAATCACCTATTCTCTCCTTTCCCCACCTCTGTCTTAACTCGTCCTCTCCAAAGAATGCAGAAATGTCATTACAAAAATCTTCATGTGCCTCATTTAGAAACTCAGAGCAACAACAGGATTGTGTGGGGCTGGTAGTGCCTTATATGACACTTCTCCGTATGGCTATAGCTCTATTTGGCAATCGCGTACCATAGCATTTGAGCACTATTCACACAAAGGAAAAGTGGCATGCAGAAAGGGCAGAGGTGGGATGTGATGACTGGTTAATGAGTCCAAAGTGCACTTCTACAACTCAGCTACAAAAAAGGACACTTTGGTCAGGGAATTCTGGACCCCCTGTGCCCAGCGCCTTGTCCAAGTCGCTCATCCGAAGAAGCCATGCCCGGCTTCTTGTCAGCTGACTGATAACTATGGTTATGTAGGTCATTGTGTGCCCTGATGTTAAGTTTAGCCCAGTATTACTGAATTAGTGGATTTACTGCCATCTTGACCCAGATAATGATACTACTGATTTGTACTTGTTACTGCACCATTATTCTCAGATAAACTGTTTATCCCTAAAGTGATTGGTCTGGTGTCTGTTACCATATCCTGAACCTGTAACTTGGCTGGGCCACCTGTGGTGTCAGAAGTGGGATATGGTACGCACCATCATTACCTGCCCCAGCCTTGTAGTGGACGCCCTGATTAGTTGTTTTGCCCTGCCCATAGACACCAGATTCTCTGACAGAGAATGGTACCTGTTGCCTTTTCCCTAGCTCCTTTAATTAGAGAAATTCAGAAAGACAAAAACATGAAGGGAGAGTTAATCTGGCTATTCCTCTTTTGCTCACTGTCTCAGAAACACTGAGCACCATTTGACTGCAACCAAAGCCTGAGCTGTCTCCCTACAAAAAGAATTAGTTCAAGCCCAACAGAATACTTGGCCTGCGTTTGAAGACAAGACTCTCACTACTGCCTGTGATAAAAGCATGCAGGCTTGTGGGGAGAAATTAGAGTGCCTTGTGGTCCCCCTGGTGGCCTGAAAAAAACTTGCCCGGCAGCTGGAAGCTACAGAAAAGGGCGTTTCTGCAACAGAAATACATAAAGCTTTATATATTGACCAAGACGACTGGGAAGGAAATATTTGATTCAATTTGGATTCAAACAATGATACATTAGACTCTTGAAGCCCAATGAGACTTACAAATCTCATCAATTACTGAAACTGAGCAACGTTAGCATTGCAAATATCTCTGAACATCCTTTCACAAACATACACCCAGCCAAATTAAGGAAGCGCTATTGCAGATCTGTTACTTTGGACCACTTAGCCTGGCCTGCAAATACGAGGGGTGGATACCATCCAAATTTCAGAATCAGAAGCTCAGACTCTCACTTTAGGGTCTGGAACCTGACTACAAATTCCACCAGAAAATACAGGCTCTGTTCTTTTGGGCATCAACAGCTTATGTTCAGAGAGATGTGCCCAGGTATGACTGAGGACCCTGGCTATTCCCTGGCCAGTCCCACAGATACAGAGTTGAGCATAGCTAGGTTGGTTATCAATCAAGCTTTAAATGTAGGCACTGTGGCAGATGAAGACCTATCACCATCCTACTGAGATGCAGCAGTGCCTACTAGTCAAAAAGGGTCCACTCGTAAGACATTTGATGCCAACAGGCGCTGGCCTTACAGGTGCAGCACCCAGCCCCACATGGTCCTTGCAAATCATAGAATCATAGAATGTTTTGGGTTGGAAGGGACCTTTCGAGGTCCAACCCCCCTGCAATGAGCAGGGACACCTTTAATTTGATCAGGTTGCTCAGAGCCCAGTCCAACCTGACCTTGAATGTTTCCAGGGATGAGGTCTCCACTACCTCTCTGGGCAACCCATTCCAGAGTTTCACCACCCTTACTATAAAGAATTTCTTCCTTATATCCCATCTAATCCAAAAGGAAGTTTCTGCTGTGCCTGTTCTTTCATCTTCCCGCCTCTCTACAGATGCAGCTATAGTTACCATCAAACCCCGTTGTGCCCCCATAAGTTAAAAAACCCCTTATGCCTCTGCAGAAGGGCCCTGACCAAAGAAGGGCACTTTGAAACATGGAAAGCCTGTTTGGCCCTGGGCATTCCAAAACAGGCAACACACAGAGTCCCAGCATCAGTGTCACTGGCTCTTGCCAACATTGTGCCATTATCCCATTGGAGGTGAAGGCTCAACTGCCTCTCCTGCCTGCCATTCCATGAGCTGGAGCCTGGAAACCCCAGCGTTGCATTACCCAAACTTTTTAGAGGTCCAGTTAGCACCACAGGGGGATGGCCAGAAGCCACCAGCCCCTCTGAGGTGCTGCGGAGGGTGCAGCTTGTATGGACTTCCAATGTAGTGCTAGATGTCACCATCATCAATAAATTGTGTTTGCACTGCCTCATTGATACAGGTGCTTAAATTTCTGTCATCAATAGATCACACACTGAAGGGGGCCACTTCCCTCATACTGCAGTAGCCTGTGGGTTCACAGGACTGCTCATAGCTCCTTTTATAGTCACAGCCAAGTATGACTTTCCTAATCAGTATATGGGCCTAAGGATCTGCAGTTTTGAGGGATTCTAACATCTTAGATACGAACCCACTCAGAAGCCTTCCACAATGCTCAAGGCAAGGTAGAGTATCTCAGTACTTCTGTACCAAACCACCCGCTAGTTCCAGTAAGTACCTCTCCTACCTCCCGTGACTCACGTTGTTAATTTACAGTAGCACCCTGTAAAACCATGAGCCCCAAACTTCATCACCTACCTCCCTTCTCGCAGGGCTGGAAGAACAGGAAGTAGTCATTCACACCCACGCCCCATTTAGCAGCCCCATCTGGACGGCGGGCAAAACCAACAAATGGGTCTTGGCTTCTGACTGTTGACTACTGTAGCATACATTCTGCCTCCTCTCTGCTTCAAGCAACAGTCCTAATAGCTGTTGAAGTACTCAACACCACATGCCCTGTTGCTTACCTATGGATGGCAAGTTTTGGATGTTAAAGATACGTTTTTCCAGTGCCCTGTCCACTCAAATGACCAAGGTCACTTTACTTTTACATGGAATAGCATTCAGTACACCTTTACTCATTTACTTCACGTTTATCACAATAGTCACATCCTTACTCATGGTCTCTTAGCCTTAGCTGAAAATTCTTCCTCTCCTGATCTCTCATCACCAGTATATCAACCACATCCTCCCGGGCAGACCTACACATGAATCTGTTGCACAACATAGGACCCTCTTAGTTTCAGAACTAAGAACATTGGCATCTTTCTATTCCTCCCTGCAAATGCCACAGTCCTGCCCAGAATGTATAAGTCTCCTTGTGTGCCAGTACAAAAGGTATTCCTGAAATAATCTTGCAATCTGTTTTATCTTTACCTACTTCCTCCTCCAAACAAAACCTCCACATATTTTAGGCACTTTATAAATTGCGGCATGCCCATGTCCCTGGCTGTAGTCAGCAAGTCCATCCTCTGTATTCCTTGCCGCAAAAGTATTTCACCTGGGACTGGAACACAAGTCATCAACAGGCCGTAGCCTTTCTCCTAAAAAGCATTCAGCAGTATCAATACTTAACACTCCTCATCCTTACTGGGAGATTTGACAGGGTCCAGTAGAGTGGAAATGGTGCCTGGTGGTGTCTGTTCCAGGAAAGAAGTACCAAGGACCCTACCCCTAAACCTATCCATTTTGGTAGCAAGGGGTGGAAAGGTGCACAAGCCTCATATTGTGAAGAGGAGTGTGCTTTACTTGCTACCTTTTCTGATGCGGACAAACTCCTTGGGGATCATTCCCTTACATTTCAGGGTTTACATCCTATTCTTCATTACGTGCTTCACAACCCTCCTTTCCCTGAAGGATGAACTCAATTAATTGCCACTCAATACTGGGTTCTAGGTATCCCTGTCATTGATGGAGCACAACCTTCAGGCCCTAACCACTGTATTCTCACACACCTTGCCTTTCCCATTCCTGTAGCTAGCAATGATCACTCAGATCTGCCTATAAATCCCTCCTTTCACAACCCCACAGGAGGGGCCTAGTTTACTGATGGTTCAGCAATTCTTTGCAGCAGTGTCTGGTTTGGGTGCGACACCACTGTCTACGCCATTGATGGCCAAATCATTATGGTCAATTGCCATGGTACTGCCCAGACAGCTAAAACTCACAGCCCTCTGCTTAGCCATTTGCTCCTCTACCCATACTGTCTGACCCCTGCGCTGTTCTTCTAGCTGCACCTGGTGGTTTTCCCTCTTGGAAAGCATGCTCCTTCTGTGCTCTTACTGCAGAAATTAGGGGCCACCTTCTTTAGGAAGATATTTGCATACTTTGGCTGTGGGCCATGTTGATCCCCATCCTGTTCACCCCACGGCTGAAGCGAGGTGGAATGACTGAGCAGATGCCACTGCTGCGATCAGAGGGGTGGAAGCAATAGTGGACACAGACACCCATGACAACTTGACAGCAGCCCAACAGTAGCAGACAAAACTGAGGAAACCTTAGCCCAAACCTGCAACTTGGAATGTGGAGCCACCATGGTAGCTCACTGGTTGCACGAGCGTTAGAGTTATCCCACTCTTAAAGCTTTAGCCCAGGTTGCCACACATGTGGAATGTATTTTCAACTGTAGCAAACAATGTATTCAAACTGCGTTGACAAGTGGGAAAACCTAGATTATGGACCCTCGCCACTTTAACACTGGTAGGAGGAAAACCCCACGGCTCCCCAGTATGGACTCCGTCTCTGAGACTGTATTATACCTCTATAACTCAAGAGCAGAATGTCACAGTTAACTCTGGGATTGTAAACAATTCAAATGCGAGATACCTCTGTATCAGTTAAGGAACCATCAATGGATTAATAATCAGTGTCTTGTATGCCTACGTTAACCCTTTTGTAGCATGAACCTTATATTTTCTCACCCTGTTTATACCATATGCCTTTGGGCTAATGCTCCAATAGCTCTCTTACACGTAATATTATTCCCATATCTCCAAGTCCCTCTCTTATTTCCTTTCCCAAACCCACCATATCATCCATACCCTTATCAGTATGAATTTATCTCTACCTGAATGGTTTTTGCAACATGAAGACTTGCATTGACTACTGAAACAGGCAAAGAGGACGGTACAACAAATTGTAGTAATCACACTACCAGTGCCAGAGACCAAACAAATCCTGGAAAGTGTTTTTAAGAAAAAAAAAAAAAAAAAAAAAAAAAGTCAAACGTAGTTGGCAGGAATCCCATTTAGGATGGCCTCCCATCATTAGGGGGATATGGAACATCCTACTTCTTTACCTAGTTGTTATCCTTATTTTGAATGGCTTCTTACTTGTTTTAGCTGTAATATTAAAGATTTGTACTTGGCTTTTGGCCTGCACTGTTCTAATGGTTTCTTGGCATACCACCTTGCAGCATATGAGGCACGGACCCCGGTTGGAGGTGCAACCAGAATCAGCTTTATTCAAAAAGAGCATGCTTTTATACTCAGTGCTCAAAGAAAAACTTCCATTAAAACTTCTCCGTTAGCCGTGCTGCAGGTACCGCTCACGTGACCGTCCTCCAATCACAGCACTGATCACATGCTTCATGCTTCCGGCTTCACTTCCTCCTTCCTGAGGTTCAGCTCAGGTGACCTACGTGACCGCCATTCCTTCTCCCCACACCACCTTATTAACTGTCTTGTCTCAATTTAATCCTTCATCACTCCACAATCAGACTCCACTCCACACCTGACACTCCCAGTGAGGTGGGTCATGTCAATGTCAGTATTGGCCTTATGCTGCCACGGCAAGACAACCACCCTTTCCCCCACACAGTCACATAAGCAAGGGGTGACAAGATAGGGCTAGTATTGTCTTACACAGCATCTCCTCTGCGTGGTGACCACACTTCTATGTGGGCTATAGCTCCATGTGGTGATTGTGCACTACTTAAGGAAGCATCCAAGCACCATTCACACAAAGGAAAACTGGCAGAGAGGGGGAGCAGAGGTGGGATGTGGTAACTGGTTCCACAACTTAACCACAAAAGAGGACAGTCTGGTCAGGGAATTCCGGACTCCTCGTGCCTCTCAGCTGGTCAAAGTCGCTCATCAGAAGTTACACCCTGCTTCCTGTCAGTCTCCCTGTTAACCATGCCCTGGCACTAAGTTTGGCCTGGTATTACTGAATTTACTGTCATGTCAGCGATCATTGTACTGTTGTTTTGTGTTTGTTACAGTACCGTTACTCCGAGATAAATTGTTTATCCCTAAAGCAGTTGATTTGGTATTTCTTACCATATCCCAAAACTGTAACTTACCTAGGCCAACCTAAGTCCCTACAGATTGTACCTACTTCTGAAAGTGATTAAAGCCTTTCAGGTTAAAGCAGACTAATTAGTCAAGCGTCTCAAAAACATTAAGCAACAACAATAATTTCAAACCAATAGCCATGGGAAACTGTGAAAAGAAACCAAGGCATTTCATTACTGTTGCTTAATGGTAACAACACTGCCATATTGACCAGAGATTTGCCAAGAGAAACAATAAATCTCAGCTGCTTATCCTCCACTTTGTGAGATCAGGCAGCTGCCTTCCGAAAATGTACTCCAAGTATTCTGACATACCCTTTAATTTAATTTCAAAAGCTAAAACAGAGAGTATCAAGTAAAACTAATGTCAGTCTGTTAAATGAAAGGACTCACAGGCCACTGCTCTTCCGTTGGTGTACCCAGTGTTTCAAATATCCTTGTCAGCTGGTCAAGATCAGAGTCTCCGGGTAAAAAAGGAACCTGGAAGAAGGCAACAGCATTTTATTGAATTAACTTCTGAACTTCAGTTCCAGAGAGGAGCTTTGAGCTATCCCTCATAATTGCAAGGCAAAAAATCTTTGTATACCAGCTGCCACAAAGAGGTACACTGAATATTTGAGTCTTTCTAGTGATGTCCAAAGAAATTCTGAAGGTTTCTTGCAACCCAGGCTTGTATCACTGACTTGATAGCAGAGCGCTAAATATAAGATTAAACCACCACCACATTAATGTAAAATAACTGAACACAGGAGAGGAAAGATTTTACATCTCAGTTGCCAGTTTAAAGTCAGTTGGTCACAGTGACCTTTCTATCATAGAATCACAGAACAGTTTGGGTTGGAAGGGACCTTAGACATCATCTTGTTCCAACCCCCCTGCCATGGGCAGGGACACCTTCCACTAGACCAGGTTGCTCAAAGCCCCATCCAACCTGGCCTTGAACACTTCCAAGGAGGGGACATCCATAGCTTTTTCTGGGCAACCTGTTCCAGTGCCTCACCACCCTCATCTGCTCACTACCCATTATCTGCACCCTGAAGTTAGGTTTTTACAATTCACTTCAAATGTCTTGAATGTATGTAACTGGATTGCAGAAGCAGCAGTTAAGACTGAGGAAATGAGATCCCAGCATGAGTGTGATCTGTGACCCACTAGGATAGAAACTGCCTAATCAGTGTCATGTCCCGTTTAATCTAAGCAGAAGACAGAAAAGGGGATATTTGCCCAGTTCAACCTGTAGCTTGTGCATCAGGCACACAATGCAAGAAAAAAGGGACCAAAGCAAAATTATGAAGAATTAGAGGCAGTATTTAACTAAGTAGGACAGAAAGACCATAATGAACATCCCTAGTACTAGGCAGTGTACTAAATTTTGGGGTCATGAAAGCCCCTTCAACATCAACCGCTTCTGTAAAGCTCCCAGAAGTTGCATTGTCCCTCAACCCAGTAGACTCAGGAAGAAAGACAGATACATTTAAAACTATCACAGAGATAAAACTGAACCACTGTATTTTCTGCTTTGTGAGAAACCAAAGAATCAACAGAATTCAACAATTTCTTATTTGCTTTGATTTTCCTTGAGTCTATCGAACTTCTGCAGGTCTAATGCATATTTATGTACACATCACTAGTGTTGTTTAAACAGCCACTGTACATTTCCATTTCTGAACTGCCAACCAAACTGTACCAGCACACCTGTTTGTATGATAAATCAAGGCAAAAGTTTTCTTTCAAGGTGTTTTTAGACTGATCAGTTCCCAAATCTGGGTCATGACATTGCCACATAAACATTTGAAGTACAGTCCAAAAACCAAGCAGAAACTGCTTACTCATGGATGATAAATTATACTGCAGGCTACCTGAGCTTTCAGCTGTGTCTGTGCCCCTACCCTCCACTCCCCACCTCACACTTTCATGTCCTCTACAAAGAGCTGCATAATAAAGGGCCTTCTTCAGTAAAACATACTTAAGAACCATTACATCTGTGTACCGTACTCATGAGTGGCACAGGATTAGCCTGATGTCAGCCTTCAGCTTTGTTCCAGTATTGTCAACTAACCACATCCTAGAAAAACATCAGTCTTCTGCTCATTACAAATAAACCCACAATTAAGGTACTGGTGATAATTATTTACAGTTATTCAGAAACAATGTATAAGGGATAGAGTATGCATGTATCTATGATGTCACATTTCTAGAAGGCTAGCAAATAAAACCAGATAGAAAGCTGTGTGAAAGGATAACACTCAGAGGACTGGAAGAATTATCTACTCCACCTTCCCCAAGGCAAGACTGTGACAGTTTGTTGCAATTTTTTTACCTAGCTGTTTTTAAAGACTTCCAATGACTGTGATGCTTATAAAACCTCAATCTATTCCGAAACTTAAATTTCCTTACAGTTAACAAGCTTTTGGAAGCTTCCCCCCCCCCACCCCGGCTTCTTCCCTTCCTAAATAGCCTAACTGCCTTTGCCTGCTGCTGTTAGCAGGAGAGAGAAAGCCCACATATGAGGTTGTAATGAAGAGCAAATGCAAAATGCCTACGTTTAAAGACTTACCCTGAGGAGCAATTCAGCTAAAATACAACCAACAGCCCACATGTCAACACCAACACCATACATTCTAGCACCAAACAATAGCTCTGGGGCTCGGTACCACCTGAAAAGAAAACACATTTTGGGAAAAAATCACCTGGCTTTGCTCATGTCAAGTGCTGTATATTGTAGCAATGCAAGAACTATAAAGAGGATACTGCTCTTGCCTATATATTTTTCAGATACTGAAGAGCTGTACTTTACTGTGCAACTGTTTTGTTTAAGAAAGACTGAAGGAAATTGTGCATTCCTCACAACGGGTTCATGTATAACCACAAATTAACTAGTTTCAACTGAGCTGATTAACAAGCAACAGAACTGCAGATATGCAAAGTATTTAACAGGCACATTTGCATGTTATAAACCAAAATTTTCTTTAAACTTGATGTTGAAGAAATGACAGAAAGACAGAATTCCTTCCAGCTTCCAAAAATCTCTATACCAACAGACCTAGGTACAGAGACTAGCTTTATGCAAAATGAACCTTGACAGCAGTTGTTTAAAACAGCTACTTCCACTGCCAAAGTACAATCAGGTTTAATGCAATGATCTGATACACACCGCATTTGAAACTACTGTTAACATTTCTGCTTTTTGAATAAAGGTGTTAAAATGAACCAGCTTTGCCTGAACAGTATTAGCATTATAGCAGGCAAAAGAAAATACCTTGCCTATTTTGCAGTCCTGCTTTTTAAGGCATGCCTTAAATAAGTGTGCAATAAATAACATTAATAAATATTTCATTGGTTCAAGCTTCTGTGACTAGCTACAAAAAAAACATTCTAGGTCTCATGATTAACAGAAAGTAACAGCTGTCTTGCTCTGAAAGCCAAGCTTATAGGCAGATATATATTATTTCCATGCATTTCACACCCCAGAACAACCCCCATGGATGCATATGCTAGCAGTTCTTAAGCAGACTTCGGTAAACAATGGTTTCTTGTGTTTTCTTTATGAGGATCTTGCCACTACAGCCACATCACGTCAGCTAGATGTCAAACTCTGAACATGTTGACTCGACATATTTCACGTGATACTGCAAAACAGTTACTCAATCACTACGTAAGAAAGAAAATAGAATGTCTTACCTTGTTACTACCTGGTGTGTATAAACTCTATTTGGGCTTCCAAAAGATTTTGCCAAACCAAAGTCAGCCAATTTTAATACCCCATTTTCATCTAACAACAAATTATTTGGTTTAAGATCCTGCCAGTACAGAAAGCAAAGAATTAATTTTGTCAGTGTTGATAAGAACAGATGTATCATGAATCTCCCAGCAGGCGTGGCATAACAGTATTCTAAGATGAGGACTTTTGATTCTATCATAGGTCTACGTTGTGAGGAAAAAAAAACCAAAAAAAACCAGGAAATCAAGTATTTCAGCATACATTAAAATCAGTGAAACATGCCCATTTGGATATTACCATAAGAAACTGCAGAGTTTAAAAAAAACCTGCCTCTTGATAGGTTTTAGCTTTGCTGCAGGAACAGCAGTTCTGTCTCAACTGCATAGTTACCAAATGAATAATAAAAAGAGCTTGCAAATGTTTCAAAGCACTACAGTTTAATACAGTAATATTGTGTTGCGGGTTTACCTCTAGCCAACAGCAAAGCACCCACACAGCCATTGCTCGGTCTGGTCTCATCCCACTGCCCCCAGTCCCCCCTGAGCAGGACAGGGGAGAGAACAGGAAGAGCAAAAGCAGGAAAACTCTGTGAGCAATATAAAGGCAGTTTAACAGGTGAAGAAAGAGGAAAAAACCCAAACAAACAAGCAATGCAATGGAAGTCATTCACCACCTTCCACAAGCAGACTGATGCCCAGCCAGTCCCTAAGCAACAGCCACCTTGGAAGCTGAAGAAAAAACCCTTCTTCCTCTCCCCCAGCTTTTACTGCGAGCAACAGCCACCTTGGAAGCTGAAGAAAAAACAAAACCCTTCTTCCTCTCCCCCAGCTTTTACTGCAGAGCGTGGCGTTGCAGGGCATGCAGTAGCCCCCTGGCCAGCTTGGGTCAGCTGTCCCAGCTGTCTCCCCTCCCCACTTCTTGCCCACCCTCAGCCTCTTCGCTGGGGCAGGTGCAGAGTGGGAAAAAAAGAAAGCCTTCACAGTGCCCAAGCACTGATTCCTGCGTTATCAAAACTGTTTCAGGCACAAATGCAAAACACAGCACCTCACGGGCTGCTGTGAAGAAAATGAAATCCATCCCAGCCAGACCCAGTTCACAGTCCTGTATAACTTGGGATGTTTTTATATAAATAAGTGATAACCACATCAGTAATTTTTACGGTCTCTGATACTGCTGCTACCTCTCCAAAACAGTGAATGCTTATGGACCAAGAACGTCTGAACTTCAAAACTATCTTCATCAGACTTCAGACTCGAAGCCGATCGAGTGTGACTTTTGTTACACTAAGTCTGTCCATTTAGTGTATGCTTACCCTATGTAGAATCCAGTGCTGATGTAAATATTCTAATCCTTGAAGCGTCATCAGCATGTATGCCTTGATGTGAGATTGTGTCAACACAATACTGGTATCCTTTATAATAACCTGCAAAGTGTTAGATCAATAGTAAAGCTTACCACGCAAAGTTAACTCACAGCTCAAAAGTTATTTTAGCCTACCTGAACTTTGCATAGCCAGCAAACAAGAAAATGGGTGGGAAACAGGCATTTGCTAGTTTAGCTCAGTTCTAGGTTGACACCCAAACTTACAAGACGAAGGTGTACACGTAAAAACAGTAAGTGTGTCAGCAAACTCGAAATTATGTTCCCACTTATTCCTTCTTTCTCCATGGAACTGAAGCATCTAATCTTTGCGAAGGCAGTGGTTTCCTCTGCTGTTTTCAAGACGACCTATATAAGTGTCCTGTTTGAAAGTAGTTTCTACACCACGCCCCAAAACTTGCTTCTTAATATTACTGTCCAGTTCAGCAGCAGCCTTTCCCGAGCTTTAAGTTGTTTGAGGCTTGCAAAAAAGATGTCTAAGGCTACGCAGAACTCCATGTACACAGCGCGTGCCCAGTCACAACAGGCTGCAGTCCCAAATGGTGGCCCCAGCGACACCACAGTACAGTCAAACGCTCTGCGTACCGCCTCAGCAGCACATAGTACAAGAGTATCTCGTTCCTCTTTGTACAACCCATCATCTTCAGCTCTAAATGTTGTTTAGTGACCAAGTAAACGGAATACATCCTCTAGACAGTCTACTCATTACTTGCACTATTAGCAAAAACCTGATTGAACCTTTCTAGTCTTGCATTCATCTAGGTTTCTGCGAGCTGTCAATGTTTTAATATTTTAAATGCTGCCCCAGTGCTTAACAGCATACATGCAATGAGTTAGTTTAACAGCTACATTAGTTTCAGTCCAGAGTAGGTATAACGTGAGCATATGCAGATCTGACATGAATCTAGGACAGTCTTCTGAAACGAAGAATCTTGCATCAAAATGTCTCATACAAAGAATTCCACAAGGACAAACTGACCTAAGGTCTGTAGGATGCTGATTTGCAAGTACCTAGCATTGTTATATTTAAAAGAATGGTTCAGGTGCATGTGGGTTTAGTACCAGTTCATCACTTGGTATACTTGCATCACACTTACTTGAACATGTCTGATGACATTATGCTTAACAATTGCACCCTGAGATGCTGATCTATGACCGAGGTTCTGTGCTCTGACTGGAGTCCCAGAAAAGTACTATAGTAAACCTAATCTGTTTCTTGGAGATCATGCTGACAAGTATTTAAAAGTAAAGGCATTATCAGCTGAGAACTCAAAAAACAGTCAAATTATTTACACTACTTTCATGACATGATCTTAACTGACATAATGAAAGTCACCTTTCTAACATGGGCAAATGTAAGGCTGTTAAAGTAGCATTTTCAAAAATATTTGAAGATACTGAAATAAAAAAAAAGTCTTTAAAAAAAGAAGTCTTACCTCTAGATCAGTTTCCATAAAATCAAATACCAAACTAATATTGGACTTGTGTCCAAATGCATCTAGAAGCTGTAAAACAAAATACATTATGATGAAGCATACCCTCATACTTCTAAAATTCTGTACCATTGTAGTCTGAATGTGGATTTTCAGCCTGCTAAGCTGGATTCAGTTTTTCAACTTGCAATACAAAAAAGTCTTACTCAGTTTAGCTTCTTAACTCAAGCCTCCAAGAAAAAAAATCCCCAGTAAGTGTAAGTATGGTAGTAACATTTTACACAATCGCCGGGAGAGGGGGTGGGGGGGGGGGAGGCTGGAGTGGGGAAGAGGAAGAGTTAACTTTGCCACGTTAGCTATAACAGAGAATCTAATGCACACCTTGTCCTCTCCCCAAATTTTGCTGTTCTGCAGAACTACTACCCTTTCTTGACACCAGACTAAGTTTTCCCATGGATTCAGCTCTTTGTATCTATCTGCTTCCTGTAAGCATGCAGTATTTAGAATTCTAAGTGTTAGGCTCATTAACTTCCTTTCAAAGACATTCTTAGGCATGTATTAATCTTTGTAGCAAGCTTTCTGGGACAAATAAAGGTCTTTGGAGAATATTGAAATGGCCCTTTCTTAGGATGAAGCTGTGTAACAACAGCATCAGGTTTTAATTTGAGATAACACAAGCGTGATGCTAAGAACAACAGATCACCTAGCCTGGCACTCTGCCTTCAAGATCAGGAAGATATGCTCCCCATGGTGTGGCTCATTCCTCACAGCCTCTGTATGATGACCATGTGAATTACCTAATTGCAAGACAGTTGTCTGCATAGTTCATTAACAGCAGTGACTGTGCTCATGCTCTCTCTTGGCAGAGACCATGGTCACAGGAGCTGCTATGCATGTGAGCCTGCAGGGTTGGCCGCTTTTTGTAATTCATGCCCCTTATACTCCCAACATCCTTAACAGTTTTACCAGGACTGCTAAGAGGAGTACAACCTTGCCTGTTGCCTTTAGTACCTGCTTATGGATGCGCCGATCATAAAGTTGTATAATGCCTCTTTGAACTGCTGACACTACAATGCCCTTGGCAACACATTTGAGAAACTCACTACACACTGTGTCAAGTAGTACAACCTGCATCCCCCCTGCCCCCTGGCGCAAAAATGTTATAAACACATCTCTTATTTCTAGTACTGTGGGGTTTTGCAAATACCAGTTCTGCATGCGCTTCACCTACCACCTCAGTTTTGTAGACCTCCCCATTCCTAGCCTTTTCCTCTCCAGAGCAAGGAATCCCAGACTTTTTGATAAAGATGCTCCATCCCTTTGCCGTTTTAGTTGTCTTTCTCTGCACATTCTCTAACTTTGATAGCTTTGATAACTTTGATAGCATCCACTTCAAAAGTTCTCAATCCAGAAAAGAACCATATGAAAAGAACATTATGAAAAAGTTAAATAAAACATCTGGAAAATTCATATCTGGTCTAATATTTATAGCAGACCTTGAAATTATCACTAGTAGCTAATTTAAAAACTCTGTAGCTAGAAGTCAACGTAAATGCAACTGAAAAGATATGGGTTTTACTCCTTCCGATGGAGGTTTTAGGTATCAGCGCTAGAACCTAATAAGCCACATGAATCCCACTTTACCATTGCTTACAAAAGCCTGCTTTTGGCTGTCAACAGTTCTATGTGAAGCAATCAGGTAAATTCAGCACTGCACTCTTTTGCAAGTCTGTCAGAAAGAGGCAAAATCAGGTAATCTAGATTTCCACAATTCTCCCCACCATTAATATCCACATAGCTCCAGGTTGAAAAGTAAGAGGATTCCAAGAGAAACTACTTTGTCTTTGTGATTGAAATAGGTGGTTTGCCATCAATTGTTTCACTGCCCATTTGGGGCTGGAAAAAATAGCTCAAATAAAATGAGTAACATCTCCACGACCCAACTAATTCTAAATTTCAGTTTGAACTTGTACCAAAAGTATTTTGAAGATTGATTCTAAATGTAGCATTAATTTTACTTACACCAATAATATTCGGATGGCTTAGCTCCTGTAACAATTTTATCTCCCTGAGAGCTGTTCTGTTGATTCCTACATTGGAAAAGAAAACCAAAAAAACACAGAACAAAATAAAAAAACTTTGATTAAATGCCAAAGAAACCTCTCATTCTGTTACTCACTGACAATTTACTACTCCAAACTACTTTCTCACCATTAAATAATTTGTTAAATAAGAATTACATTGCCATTGATAAGTAGATTGCTGCAGAATAAAAGCAGACATACACTTTCTTCCATAGCAAATAAATTCTACACCACAGTAATCAGATTTAGATTATGAAGAACATGTACCCCTTTGGGCAAAAAGGGAAAGTTCTAGCAAAAGCCTAGAAAAAAAAAATCACCTTTTTTCAGGGTATTGTCAGCTTTAGTTTTATCTTAAAGTTACAACTTGCAAATATCAGTTCTTTGATGTGTCTCACTTCCAGAGGGAGGCACACTGACAAACCTCATACATGTATCTCTTTTCTTTTTGATGTAGTGTTATTTAGTAAGGCAAGGCACATATGTTTTCCTATATTCACTCTGTGGCATAAAAGGTACAATGGCCAAAATCTGCTCACCCTTGCTTGAAACCTTTAATAGCCAGACCTGGAGAGGAAAAACTGGGTGGGGAACAAGGAGGGAAACAGTGCACTTTGGCAGTCACACTGACTACACTGCATCAAACCATGATTCCTGCCAGGTAAGAATTCCTCCTTCAAAAATGCTGCTACGTATGGCTTGTACAAAAACTGACTGGCAAGCAAATGCTCCTGTGGTATGCTGTGCAGGAGTTTCAGCTGTGCATGAGCTGCGAAAGTGTTCTCCCAAAGCCCAGGATACAATTCGACACACGAGACTCTAGCATAAAGTTTTGAGCAAAGCTATGTGGATTACTTTACACTCCTGCTTTGCCTATTTTAGTTATCTATTTTGGAATCAAGTTGACAATGGCCACTTCTTGGTGGGCAAACAGATAAAAAAAAAAAGAAAAAAGTACACCAGTTTATCAGATAACACAGGGAAACCAGACATGATCATTATTTTTAATAACATCTTTGAACTATAGCTAGACATTATATACGCCAAAAGAAACAACTGTCCTTAAAGGACATTAGTCCACTGAAGGTCAGGTGGATCACGACTCTCTGTCAGTCAGCTCAACTGTGAGGCTCTGGGACGAGTGCTCGGTTTCTCTTTAAAAAGTCTTCCCTTAGAACAGAATTGCAGAGTTGAGAGCAAGAATTCTTCACCGGAAAACTGGCAACCTGATGCAGAATCCCTGAAGGATGGCAGCCTACACACATACAAAATTCTACTGCACCACACAGGCTGTAAGAGAAGACCAGGACTATTTTAGGGTGTTCACTTGCAGTATCTATGCCTAAACGCACATGACTGTTCAGAGCACATGATCAAAAGACACTGCTTTATAGACCTAATTTCTTAACATAAAACAAACCCACACCAGGACAAGAGCTTTAAGATTTTGTTTTTATCAACTTTTGTCTCAGCATAAACCACAAAAACAGAACAAGCGAAACATCTGAAACAGATAAGGACTCTCACCTGCCTTAAATATTTACGGCACAGAGATGTGTCAATACAAAAAGGTATTCTAAACTCAGTGCTGTAAAGATTATTGCTCTATGCTATATTCATGTTTATATTCCACTTAAACTGAGAAGCTAAGCAGTTTTATATTCATATTTAGACATAGACTATATATGCAGATATCTCTGCTGCTTTTTTCTGTCCCTGCAGTTTGGGAAGCAATCCTGCACTAGGCCTCACACCAAGCTCATTTTTCTCAGACAAGTAATGGTGTGGGAAACTGATGTACCACTTTACAAAAACGAAAGACACAAAGCCCAGCTTCTGCAGCATGAATTTGTTTTAAAACTCACCATCTTTAGCTTCTGATCTATGTCCCAGTTTAATCTGAAAAGAAATGTTTCATATTATACAAGGTTAAGCCATCTGCCCCAACATTAGAGGATACATTCTTTAGTATTACTCTTCTAAGACAGAATGAGTTTCAGTACCATGAAGCACTTTACCAGCTAGGGTAGATTTTGGGTTGGGTTGGTTGTTTTTATTGTCTCTGCAGCATTATTTTTTATAAAAGGCTAAAAATAGTCATGATGGTGCTAAAAACAGACATAATGCAAACTGGCAGCATAAAATGCTTTGTAGCCACAAAGCTTTATTATACCACTAAAGAGCTTCTCCTCAGGGGGAAATGAGGGCAAAGTAATTTACAATCATAGAATGATTCTAGTAAAATCAGCATACTCTGTAAATTTGGGCTGGCTTAAGATCATAGAATCATAGAATCACTTTGGTTGGAAAAGACCTTTGAGATCATCGAGACCAACATTTAGCCTAACCCTGCCATCCCACCACTAAACCATGTCCCTAAGCACCTCATCTATCCTTCTTTTAAATACCTCCAGGGATGAGGACTCTACCACCTCCCTGGGCAGCCCATTCCAGAGCCTGACAACCCTTTCGGTGAAGAAGTTTTTCCTAATGTCTAGCCTAAACCTGCCCTGGCGCAGCTTCAAACCATTCCCCCTCGTCCTATTGCCCGTTACCAGGGAGAAGAGGCCAACCCTCACCTCCCTACAGCCTCCTGTCAGGCAGTTGTAGAGGGCGATCAGGTCTCCCCTCAGCCTCCTCTTCTCCAGACTAAACAACCCCAGTTCCCTCAGATGCTCCTAGTTAAGACTTGTGCTCCAGACCCCTCACCAGCTTGGTTGCTCTCCTCTGGACATGTTCCAGCAATGCAACATCTTTCTTGTA